GTGGTCTTCGAGTTCCCAGAACTCCATTCCTGGGCATGATTTTGAATGCCCGGAGCCAACTGTAGGCCACTTCGTGTTCTTCGAGTTCCCAGAACTCCATTCCCGGGCCACATTTTGAATGCTGAGGCAGGCTGAGGCTGAGGCTGAGGCAGGCTGATGCTGAGGCAGGCTGAGGCTGAGGCTGAGGCTGATGCAGGCTGAGGCTGAGGCAGCCTGAGGCTGACGCCGAGGCTGAAGGCAGACTGAGGCTGAGGCTGAAGCAGGCTGAGGCTGAGGCTGAGGCAGGCTGAGGCTGAGGCAGGCTGAGGCTGAGGCTGAGGCAGGCTGAGGCTGAGGCTGTGACTGCGACTGCCGTTGCCACTGCGACTGTCATCGCGAATGCGACTACGACTGCGAGAACAGCACAATTCTACAACTGGATTCTCATCTGAATCTTAAGGGGAATGCTTCCAGATATGCTCCTACACATCGCTGTTAGGTTGCTTTGCCGGGATAATTTCAACGGTCCCGGAACCCGAGGACGGCCTCCGAAGGCCTATTGTAGCATCGCTGGCAATTGCTTGCGCGCTCGAGGAAGAATTTGGGGGGGCCTCCTGGGGCCGCCTGGGGGCCTCCTGGGGGGTGTCTGCCGCCTGGGGCCAATAGTGTAGCGTCGCTGGCACTTGCTTGCGTGCTGGGGGGGCATTTGGGTGGCCTGCAGGGGCCGCTTGGGGGCTTCTTGGGGGCCTCCTGAGGGCCTGTTGGGGGCCTCTTGGGGCCTCTTAGGGGCCTCTTGGGGCCTCCTGGGGACTTCTGAGGGCCGAGGGCTCGAAATATTGTTTCGTGTTCCCCCCCTGGGGCCTCTCTTGGGGCGTCCTTGGGGCCCTCTTGGGCCGTCTTGGAGCCCTCTTGGGCCGTCTTGGGGCCCTCTTGGGGGCCTCTTGGGCCCTCTTGGGGCGGTCTTGGGGTCTTCTTGGGCCGTCTTGGGGTGTCGTGAAGCCGAAAAGGTGGAAACGTGAAAATTGTTCCAAAACCTTAGGAAAAGCAATGAATGTTGCCTCTTGGGGCCCTCTCGGGAGTGCTCTTGGAGGCCTCTTGGGGCGTCTGGGGGCCATCGTGGGCGTCTTGGAGCGATCTTGTGGCATCTCGGACCCCTCATGTAGCATCTTGAAGGCCTCTTGGAAGCCTCTTGGCCCTTCTTGGGGCTCTCGGGGACGTCTCGGAGCCGCGTTGGTGCGCTGCTGGAGCGCCCTGGTGACTCCTCCCGGGACTCTCTCAGGACCTTGCCGGGGTACTTTCCGCCCGGGGACCCCCAGGGGCCGCCCCGCGCGCGCGAAGTAGAAATAGAAAGATTGTAAAGCAGTCACCGGAGATCTTAGCACGCCTCTGGCCCGTTGGGCCGGCGAATTTGATTATGTCCGAACGTCTGGTGTTTCTTCCTCTTCTTCTTTTTCTTCTTCTTCTTCTTCTTCAGTAGCACAGACTGGCTCCCCGGGGCGCCTTGTCACTGATCTTGATTTCGCTCCAAAGCCAATTGGGTTGATAAGTTCACAGACAGGCTACAGAACCGATCGTTCAGCCGATTTGGGCATCCCCTGGGCGACCCCCGGGGTCTCCAAGTCGGCCGAAGCTGGCCGAGGTTGGGCCCGAGAGGGCTCCAGCGGGGCCTGGAGCCCAACTGTTGCCGAGCTTGCCCCCGGAGCTCTCCCGAGGCAACCTTCCGTAGCCACTTCGGCTCGAGCTCGGGTGCGCGCCCCCCGCTCGGCGCCAGGCTCGGGCCGCCGGGCCCGGTCATGCCGGGGGCTGCTGCTAGGAGTGCCCCCCCCTCCCCCCCACCGGCTCGACTGGACGCGAGAGTGACCTCTCACCGGAGTGACCTCTGGTGCGGGTGCAGATGGGTCCCCAGATCGCTGGACGCGATGCAGCAGTAGCGTCTTGCGCGCTCGTGCTCGGTCCCTCCTCGGCCCCCAGGGGCCGCGCACCAAAGGCCACTCAGGGCACCGCTCACGAGGCTCAGAGGGCTCCGGGAGCTCCAGCACCGAGCGGAAACCTGGGGGGCACCTCGGGCCAGGGGTAGGGGAACGAACAATGACATAAACATAAAAACTCAGAGGTCCGCGCGGATTTCTTGGGTCATCGCTGGACCCCCCTCCCGGGCGCGCGGAGCGCGCCGGGGTCGGCGCCGGAGGCGCCGCCGGGGGGCCCCCGCGCCGATGCGAGAAACCCGCGCGGACTTCCGAGCTTTTATATGTTTGTGCCACTGTTCGTTCCCCTAATTATAGGGGGGCACCTCGGGCCAGGGGGCACCTTCAGCGACCCCCGGACGTGGCGTAGCCGCCCCGGCAGCCTGCACGGCGGGCGGGGCGCGGCGGGCCTCCGCGCGGCTCCCTCGGGCATGCCCTCCGGGCGCGCGGCGCCCGCGGCGGCGGGCCGGCCCGCGGAGGACTCGGGCGATGCCGCGGAGGAGGGCCTCCAGGCCGAGGAGGACCTCCAGGCCGAGGACGACTTCCAGGCCGAGGACGACCTGCCGGCCGAGGACGACATCCCAGCCGAGGACGACTTCGTGGACCCGGAGCAGCCGGCGGAGGCCGAGGGGGCCGAGGAGTTCTTCGACGAGGAGGAGCCTTTGGACGAAGAGGCGCCCCCGGAGGAGGAGGCGCCTCAGGACGAGGACCTCAACGGCCATTTCGAGGAGGAGGAGCCTGGCGACCTAGATGAGCAGCTTGATGATGAGTTGCCTGAGGAGGACACCGGCGAAGCAGGCGATGGTGATGAGGGAATGGACGGGGACCACGCAGGCGGAGGAGACCAAGACGGTATGGCCGACAGGATATACAACGGCACTCTGACTTTTTTCAACGTGAAGACGCGCATGGGGCTGATAGTAGTAGACGAGCTGAACAACAAGGCTTGCTTCTCCCAGGACGAGCTGCCTCCCGAGATCGTGACAGAGCTGGATGTCTTCGGCAAGAGCTGCATCGATCTCAAGAACCGCAACATCACGTTCAGACTATCCTACAGGTCCTCCAGGACGCAGAAGAACAAGGGCCAGTTGCTCAAAGCGTCTGAAATTCGACTAAAGCCTGAGGTCGGAGCACGCCTTATCGGAGAGGTGGAGAAGGTGGGGACCGACTACGGATTCATTATTTCGTCGTCACTGGAAGGCAACATATCGAAGACGCCTACGGCGAATCACCGCCGCCCCCTGCCTTTTTGGAAGCGCCTATGTGGCCGAACGTTGAGGCCAGACCTGCCAAGCTATCGGACCACGTGTTCCCCGAATCGGTTTGGAAAGCCTTCGGGGAACACGTGGGCATCTTGAAGGTCATCTTGGCCGTCTTGGAGGCCTCTTGGGCAAGCTTTGGGCGATCTTTGGGGCTTTTTGGGCCGTCTCGGGCCAGCTTCGAGCCAACTTCGGCCATCTTGGTGGGTTCCTGGCACGTCTGAAGCCGTCGGAAGCCGTTTGGGGGGCCTCTATGGGCCGACTTGGGGCCCGCTTGGAATGCTCCAGGGCCGTCTTGGAGGCCATCTTGGGCGTCTGGGAGGCCATCTTGGGCGTGTTGGAGGCCTCTTGGGCCCTCTTGGGGCCCTCTAGGGGCCATCTTGGAGGCCACTTGGGCCATCATGGGGCTCTCTTGGGGGCCTCTTGGGCGATCTTGGGGGCTTCTTGGGCCGTCTCGAGCCGTCGGAGAGCCGAAAAGGCGCAAATGCCAGAATCCTTCAAAAACCAAAGACAAATCAATGATTTTTGCCTCTTCGGACTCTCCTGGAGGACCTCTTGGAGGCCTCTTGGGCCGTCTGGGAGGCCTCTGGGGGGCCTCTTGGGCCGTCTTGGGCAGTCTTGGACTCTCTTGGGCCGTTTTGGAGGCCGTCTTGGACCATCTCGGGCGGACTTGGAGGCCATCTTGGGCCATCTTCGCGATTGTTTGAGGATGTCCCGAGCGAAACGGCCGTTTTTTGGAGGATTTTTTCCGGTCGTTGAGCACGTTTGGGGGCCTTCCGGGTGGCCGGCGGGTTTTGCCGGAGCCCACTGGGGAGTTCTTTTGGAAAAAGAACCAAAACCAAAACCTGAAACATCCAGCACGCCGTGCACCCCTGCAAGCAGGGGGCGGCGGATCTGACGGCCTTCGGCCCATCCTGCCACCGTGCCTGGGTTGTCGGTCTGCATCCTATTGGATGTTCGTTGGGATCTGGTGGGAGGCCTATTGGGGGCCTCTTGGAGGCAGCTTGGAGGCCTGTTGGGGGCCGTTTGGGGGCCTCTTGGGGTCTCTTTTGGGCCTGTCGGGAACCTGTTGGGGCTTCTTGGGAGCCTCTTGGGACCTCCTGGGCGCCTCATGGGGCCTCCTGAAGGCCTCTTGCGGCGGAAGGCTCGGATTTTCGGTTCGCGTTCCTTCTTGGGCCGGGGCCCTCCTGGCCCGTCTTGGGCGCTTCTTGGGCCGTCTTGGGGCGCTCTTAGGCCGTCTTGGGGTCCTCTTGGTTGCCTCTTGGGCCGTTTTGGGGTGGTCTTGGGGACTCCTTGGGCCTTCTAGGAGCGTCGGACAGCCGAAAAGGCGAGACTGCCCAAATCCTTGAAGCAAACAAGTGGAATTAGTGGTTTTCGCCTCCTGGGGCCCTCTTGGAAGGCCTCTTGGAGGCCTCTTGGGGCGTCTTGGAGGCCTCTTGGGCCATCTTGAAGCCGTCTTGGGCGTGTTGGAATTCTATTTCGGTGATTCGGGGTCCTCTTGGATGGGGGCCTCGTGGGGCCCTCTAGGCCCGTCTTCAGCCCCTTTGGGGTCCGAAAAAGTCATGCGACAATCCGCGACGGGTCCCGCAGGGCATGCCATGAGCTCCGCCAAATTTTTGGAATATAGGGTCCGGGACCCGTAAAAAGATCCCTCAGGATTGATGATTGAGGCTCCATGGATTGGGCAGGGAACCCGAGGACACGGCCACTCCGTGCCCAGAGGCACGGTTGCGGATATTTTCAGACCAAGGACGTGCCGCCCCTGCTGCGGGCGCAGCAGAAGCAGCCGCTGGTGGGCATGCTGGTGAGCTTCACCATGGAGATGATGAACAAGACCGCGTCGAAGGAGCCGAAGCCCCGGGCCTCCCACCTGCACTTCTTGCCCGCCCCAGGCGTGCTGGACGGCCTTTACGCCGGGGCGCGCATGGTTCCTCCAGGACACCCGGCGGCCCCCTTCCCCCCCGAAGCGGCTCGGCCGGCCTGGGGCCCCGGGCCGCAGCAGTCGGGCGGTGGTGGCAACAAGACTAAGGCGTGCGGCGACTTCAAGACCGGGAAATGCAACCGAGGGAGCGCTTGCAAGTTCTCGCACGACCCTGCAGTGATTGAAGGCGAGAAACTGAAGGAGCAGGTGCGCAGAGAAGTGGACACCTTCGTCAAAGCCAACGGCCTGAACGCGGACGCCGCCGCCGCGCTCCGGGCGGAGGCCCCGGAGGTGCAGGCCCACGTGCTGTCGCGCGGCAACCTCGCGAGCACGAGGAATACCGGCTCGGCGCTGGCCAGGCGAATCAGAGAAGCCAAAGCGACGCCAGCGTGGGGGCCGCCGCCGATGGGGCACCCAGGAGCGCCGCTGGGCGTGCCACCCCCAGGGGCGCCGCCGCCGCAGGGGGCGCCAGGGTACCCCCCGCCAGGCGGCTACGGCTATGGCCCCCCGCCCAGCGACTACGGCTACGGCCCCCCGCCGGGCGGCCATGGCCCCCCGCCCAGCGACTACGGCTATGGCCCTCCGCCTGGCGGCTACGGCTACGGCTACGCCCCCCCGCCGCCCTGCGGCCACGCCCCCCCGCCAGGCGACTTCGGCGGCTGCGCCCCGCCGCCGGGCGACCACGGGTACCGCCCGCCCGCGGGCTACAGCCCGGCACCCCACGGCTACGCCCCGCCCGGCCTGCCGCCCTTCGCGCCGCCGCCCGGCTACCACCACGCCGCGCCGCCTCCTGGCGCGCCGCCCGGCTTCCCGCCAGAGCCTCCGGGGGCCCCAGGGGCGGCGACGGCGCCGCCGCCAGCGCCGTCCGAGCCCCCGCCGGGCAACCACGCGCCGGCGGGCGCCCCGCCCCCGCAGAAGCGGGCGCGCGCGGCGCCGCGGCCCAGCGCTGCCCCGCACCTCGAGGGCAGGCCCCCCTCCCCTCCCCGGCCACCCAAGCCGCCGCTGCCGCCAGGACCGCCCCCCGGCTTCGAGCAGCGGTGACCGCAGCGGGGGCCGCTTCAGCGCCGAGGGCAAGCTTTTGGATGCGTCGGCTGGCGAGTCCACGGGCAGCCCCTGGGTGCGAGCTGCGCCCTCTCTCCTCGTATATGGCCACGCAGCGCTTGCAATCAAGCGAGAGAGACTCGGGGCTTGGTACGCTAAACAACAAAACAAAGTGAGATCGCCCGAGGCACACCGTGGAGGAGAGGTGGGGCCAGGGGCACCCTCCTTTCTGGACCCCTTCCCAGGCACCACTCCCTCGACCACCCCCTGGGACCACCCCCTAGGACAACCCCCTGGAGGACTCCCCTCCCAGGTGGCAGGCAGCCTTCGCAGATGCTGCCAGCACGGCGTCCGCTGTCGCTCTTCGATCTTCGATGGCTCACAGTCGTTCCGGAACATCGGTCTGCGGGAGGAGAGGGCAAGCTCAAAACGATGAAGGCACTGCCGAGCGTAAGGGTGTTCGCCGACGCGGATGGCCCCGAGAGTGGACATAGTATTGCAGGGTTCGGCTTAGCCTGTCGCCCTTGCTGTGAAGGTGGTGCGTGGGCAGAGTGTCGTGTAAGATAACAGGCATGCCACCGTGGTCTGTATCTCCACGGCGATCACCAGCCCCGCCCTTGGGAGCCCGCTGTGTCCGTCGCCCGCTTTGCCCGTGGGAGCCAGTGGAGGAGTAGGAGGCATTGCAATGTGTCATGATAAGGCTGCCTCTGAATGTGTTGCGTACCAAGCGGAATGCAAAACGCGTGATCAGAGAACCGCTCAGCGATCCCTCTGAGATTCCCTGGGCGCCTCGGAATGTTGAGGACTGGAGGAGTAACGTACGAGCAAAGTACCTCAATAGGTTCCCGACTGGTGGCGTCGGGTCCTCTTTCCTCCTGCACCCCCTCCTTGTCCTCCTCCCCCTTCTCCCTGCCTTGAGTGAAGCTGGAGACGCGACTTGAGCTGCCAGTTGTTTGCGACGCATTGTCTTGCCGATGTCCATCCGCTGGGATGCAATGCAGGTTCAAGGCAGAAGGAGCTCAACGTATCCAGCTGCCTGCGGCAAGTCCCGCCACCGTGCCAGACCAGCATTCTGGATGGCGACTGTTCGAGGGGGCACGGGAGGTCGTAGCGTGTGACACATCGTGTCCTCAGGTTTGGGAGTCGTGATGATCATGCAGTTGTTGTTGATGGGCGTCTTCAGGCCATTGTGGGCCGTCTTGAGGTCACAGTGGGCCATCTTGGAGCCATCGTGGGCCGTCTTGGAGGCATCGTTGCTACGGGAGCGCGAATCCGTAGTATTTTACGAGGGGTTGTGGCCTTGGGAGGTTACGTGGGATTTTGGCCTCGGGAGGGAGGGGCGGTGCACACAGATAAGCGCCTTCCAAGAGGGTGGGGGGGGGCTCTTAGAAAACTATAGAAGCCCTGCCAGGCAGCCCGTGGCATTCTAGCACGCCCCAAGGTGCCAGGGGGCACGGTGGCGGTTCCTTGGTTGCTGTTGTGTGATACTCGTTCTCAATTATGGAAAGTCAATGACATCAAACGGGGATGCGCCCACAATGCTTAAACAATTTCGCTTATGCCTCTGTTTGCTGTTCCTCCTCCTCCCCCCCCTCCACGACCTTTCTCCCTCTTCGTCGGTCTCTTGGTGCCACCTGGGCAAAATGGGCGAGATCGGTGCAGTTGTAGGTTTGCTTGCCGACTCCCTTGTTTCGATGTTGTTGGCCATATTGCAACCTCACACCTTGCCGGCGCTGGCAGTGGTTTCAGGATTGCTTCAAGGTGGTGTTATATCGTGGTGTTGCTTGCCTCGTCTACTTCCTCCACTTGCGCTGAACAAGACACGCGCGACGATTCCTGCGCCTGGTTGCTCAGGTGTGGCGCGCTTTCCCAAGTAGGACAACAGTGAAATGAGTGATTGAGGTACGAACGAACAGGTCAGAGTCGCGTGAGAACGGAAACGAGCCCTCGAGGTCGTGCGCGGCGCTCGAGATGCCGACCGCGCGCCCCGCGTGCATGCCCCCAGGAGCCCGACAAGGTCTACCAGTTTGTGGCCCTCTCCCGCAGCTCCCGCGACCTCATCACGCTCCTGATCCGATGCTTCCACGCGCGGACGGCCTGCCGCCCTCAGACCTCGAGCAGCGGGGGCAGAGCGGCGCTCGGAGGCGTGGCAGCTGCGCTGCTCGCAGAACACCCGACCCTCCTGCCTGGCCATGGAAGAACCAAGCACGGCATATAAGCATCTATTCTCGTATGGCCACCCAGGTTTGTTGGATCGGCGCTGGGCCCCCTCTTGACGGCGTCTCTGGCGTCGCCCCCGGCGCGCTCCGCGAGCAATGGAGGGGGTCCAGCGCCGATCCGAACAATCCGCGCGGGCCTCCGAGAAATTGTGTTTATGCTGTTTTGGGGTTCCTCCCAGGCCAGCGTCCCCCACCCTTGAAGACGCTCCCCAGCGCATGTCAGGGGCCCAGGCCTGAAGTAACGGGCAGTCTGCCCCAGCATGGCCCGAGCGCGGCCCCGCCCTCGATTGCTTGGAAGGTCTTGCGTCGCTGCGCGGGGAGTGGCCGGTCCTCGAGTGCGGGAGGAGGAGGAGGCTGGGGGATAGAGGGTGGGGGATAGAGGATGGAGGAGGAGGAGGAGGAGGAAGAGGAGGAGGATGAGGAGCACGGAGGAGAAGGGGAAGGAGGACGAGGAGGAGGAGGAGGAGGAGGAGGAGGAGGAGGAGGATGGAGGCCCGCGCGCAGGCTGGCGGGGAGGGAGGAGGAAGATGCGAGGGTCGCATGAGGAGGCAGCGGAGCGTGCGTGCACCGTTGAGGGCGGGCGGCGGAGCCAGAGAAGGAGCAAGAGATGCGGAGTACGGCGGGATGTGGGCATCGGAGGAATGCCGGGGAGGAGGAAGAGGAATGTGGGGAGGGAGACGGAGGAGGACGAGGAGAAGGTCACGCGACGAGGCAGCGGAGCGTGCGGACACGGATGAGTGTGGGCGGACGGACCCAGAGAGGGGGCGAGAGATTAGGGGTACACGAGGTGGGCATCGGAGGAGTGTTGGGGAAGAAGCTGGAGGAGGTGGAGCGGGATGCGGAGGAGGAGGTACCCAAATCGCTGCCTTTGACTCCTTTTCGCCTTTCTGGGTCCCCTGGGAGTCCTCGAAATTGTGGTCAGAACACACCACAGGAGAGGTCCGAGGAGTAGCGGTATTGGTACCTTTTGATTTCCCCATTGGGATAATAAGGGTTTAATCATGGAGCAACGATACGCAAGGGGGGGATAGGCATAGGGGGGGGATGCATCGATCCCCAATCGCCCATTGATCGCCGATAGGGTTTTGAGAGCGCCACCCTGCCCAGGAAGGTGCGGTTCCGCTATTGCGGGCCTATCGCCGATCTATCGGCGATGTATCGCCGAGTCCAGGGCGATGCATCCCGCGCTGTGCCACTCCCCCCCTATCGTTGCCCCTCAACGGGGGAAGTGGGGAGGGGTGCGGCAGTGGGGAGGGGGGGATGGGACTACATGAGTACGGGGAGGTTTTTCGATCCGCTCGCTCCTCAAATCTGGCCACGAGGCCGACCGGATGTCGCACTGCGCCTGCACTCCTGCCTACGCCCTGCGCTTCCTGGCCAGCTGGGCCCCTTCACTTGGGAAGCCTAGGGTATCAGATGCTCTCCTCGGGGCCTGGGGGGACTTGAGGAACACGCCGAGGAGCCTCAGACTAATTACCCACCCCCACGGCAGGGCCCCAAGCTCCCCGAGCCCTCCCCCCAGACGCCCGCCAAAGTGCCAAAATTGGCCCCAAGACGGTTTGAAGTGCGCCCCCAGCAGGGCCCCAAACCGACACACACACACACACACACACATTGGGCACGAAACCAACACAACCTCGCCCCGAGGAGGAAGAGGACGAGGGGGCGGAGGAGGAGGAGCAGGAAGAGAAGGAGGAGCGAAGGTTCACGTTCGGGGACCCTGGTTTTGGTGCGTCTTGAGGTTTCCCGATCCCAGATCAGATAGTGACGGTCTTGGGGGCTGCAAATCCTCCTCCTCCGCCTCCTCCTCCCTTCCCCTTGAACTTTTGGACTCGCTGGGCTACGGAACACCGCGCAACGGCGCGCGTCATTCACGTACCCAAGCACGTGTGCAAGGCCGTTCGGCCCCTCGCTCGGACTTCTGTTCACGATCTCCGTCGTTGTGAATGGGCGGCCGTGCCCACCTGCCAATGCTGCACCGGCTGGCGCACCAGGACCTCCGCGCGCGGAAAGCGCGCGAGCGGCTTATGTAGCTGTGTGCGGCTCCCCTGTGGCACTAGGGAGGAAACGGAGGAGGAGGAGGAGGAGGACGAGGAGGAGGAGGAGGAGAATGAGGAGGAGGAAGACGAAGACGACGACGAAGACGACGACGAAGACGACGACGACGAAGACGACGACGACGGCGACGCGCAACGGGAGGCAAACGAGCAGGAGGACGACGCCGCGGCGGGCTCTGACGGCGCAGCCGCCCGTTTCGGCCCGAGCTCCGGCAGGCGCGGCCGCCGCCCGAGGGGGGCCTTTTGGCCCCTCTCCGGCAAGGCAGAGGTGGCTCGGAGGAGGAGGTACTTAGCCATGCCGCTGCCCCTTGCCCCGTTTCTCCTCTTGTGGGGTCTCCTGGGAGGCCCTCGTCGCCACTGCTGGATTCGCCTCGAGATCCTGGTCAGAACGCACCCCGGGAGAGGTCCGGGGAGTAGCTGTGTCGCTACCTTTTGTTTCTGTTTCCATGGGGTGGGCCTTCTCAGAAGGTTCAGAAGGCCTTTGGCCTTCTGAGAGGCTTTGTACGCCGTTCCGAAGACGCAGACGATTTCTCCGAAGGCTGGAGGCTTCTGAGACGCCACGCTGCCTTTGACAAGGCATGCCCCTTCTCACTTCCCCCCTGAGCTCGCTGCCGAGGAGAAGAAGAAGAAGAAGACGGAGACACAAACAATGCATGAGCATCAACTTTGGGAACTCCTCGCGGATCTTTGGGACTGCCGCTTGACTCTCACCCTTGGCGCTGGG